TTTCTCAAATGTTCCTTAATTTTTGTTGACTAGTTTAGATCTATAATACAGTCCACACCGGCTTTAAGCACGGTCATCGGGAGAAAACTGAAGCGTGCTTAATGCCGAAGCGTGCTTGGGTGCGAAGTAGATAAAATCCAGAGATTTTCATGTAGAAAATTTCCTGTGCTATTTCCTTTAGTAAGTAAGCCTCTAGTGGTCCTGCAAAAATGTGCATTGTTATTTTTACCCGCCTTGGTAGCCTACTTTTCATTTGTTTGTTTGTTTTGTTTTGTGGTCAAATGGGAAATGAAATCTTTATTTAGACGGCCAGTCACGATACAGCACACTTGGCCTACACATTGCCTGTGCATACCACTGCCCGCTGTGCCACATTCATACCACCACTTTCACCCCCCAAACACGGTCTTTGATCCCACCTCGCGCGTGATACCAAATCAGGATTATCGGATAGCGATGGGCAATAAGGTGAAATTGCAGCCTGCCACCTTTTCTCATCTCCCCGATCCCTAGGCTAGATCCTATGTCCACGCGCGCGGCTGTGTGCATCTCTCTGCCTTCCTCTCTGTGCATGTGTGTGTGTCTATACGTTCTTATACTCTCTCTGACCGTCCGGGTGTGTGTCCATCACTTGCGCTGTTTTTGTTTCTCTTAACACACTCACTGCTGAGGTGTAGACTGTGTTCAAACTTCGATGGGTCAACATGAAAGTATTGACTGTCTTGTAAATGAAGCGTGCCTGAAGCTGAAGTTATCGTGCTTAAAGGCGTGTAGTTTATATAGTAAAAATTCGGTACGAGCCGTTTAGCGTGCTTGAGTCCAAAACGTGTTTATGCCAGCGTGCTCAAACTTATAGCCGGCGTGGACTGTACTATCTTTGTTTTTTTTGTTTTTGTAAAGTGTTTTACGGCGCTCGCAACTGCATAAGGTCATATGAGCGCGCGGGACACACCTAATATTTTCAGTTGGTAGGAAATTTTGAATTTTGCCCGGGTGGCGGCCGAAGCTCCGAGATTTTTCGCCCTTGTCCGAGAAGGCTAGGTGTAGATCTTTCCTACCAGAAGATCAGGGGTGTGGCAGAAAGACAGCAGTAAGGAGGAGCCAAGGAGTAGCAGTAGAAAGGCTGCAGAAAAAGTCAGGAGCCCAGAGTAGGGGGCAAAGGGGATAAGGGGGTGGGGGCAGAAAGTGGAAATGAAAGTAGACAACAGAATATTGCTAGAGAGCAGGAAAGGAGGTGAAAGGAGACAATTTTAGAGAAGAAAATTTTTGGTCGCTACCCGGATTCAAACCCGAGACCTTTGAATGAGAGGCCAACACCTTAACCTCTAGGCCACGAGAGCCCCCTGTATTATCTTTTCTGGTAGACGAGAATATTGATGTTGAACATACATCCCCCTCCCCCACCCCTTTACCCCAGTTCAAACGATAGGCCTGTAGTCAGAACGCCCCCATATATTTAACCCCCAAAAAAACCCCCACAACTCTTTATGTTTAATAATTCTAATTATCGTTGCATTGTTACACGGCGGATGCCCCAATTAGAGACACGTAAACATTGACATTACGCAAGTGTGTTCACGACACAGTATACTATCGTATTATACATTTGTATTTTTAAAATGTAGGTTATGGTCACGGCCAGTCATGAAAGTAGACAATGACACGATTCAAAAACGCAGGAGCAACACGACTGAGCGGGGTTAACATTATCACATCACCCTACTAGTGACGGACAAAATGAAAGCCTCGGTCCGAGGTCCGAAATCCGACCACAGGCCAATTTGCGATGCATTCCTGAAATACATCTTGTACAGTCGAAGCTGTCTAAAGATGGCTATCCACTGTCGAGGAGAAAAGAGGCCGTCTTAGACAAGTGGTCTTCTTACTCGGAGTTGTTATAATGTTAAAATGTTTTGAAAATTATGCAAGGAAGGGAGTGGGAAGTAGCCATTCGTACGGGTGATTGTTTTATACAGGTTGGTCGTTATAGCCGGTTCGCACAAGCCGAACTGATTAGAATCACAAATACAGCATCGGCCTAGTATCATTTACCATGTCATCACTGAGATGTGAAAATGGCATAATGAGTCGATTTCAGCACTTTCGAGAAAATAATAAGAGAACAACTGATTAATTATTATCTTATTTTTCTTATTTTCAGTATTTTACTTAGTTTGAAGCCATTCTCTAAATAAAGATTACGTTATTTACATTTTTAAAATATTGTGGTTAAAATATGGTTTACGCCATTTTCGCTTTCCCATGAACGGGACTTTTGCAATGATGAAAGACGTGCCAAAAACGGTGTTCCAAAATGCATAAATTAAACGTCATCTTTCTTATTCTCACAGTGAATTTTTGTTTTCGATGATTCCTTATTGTCGCCTTGTTTTTAAATGGATTACTGTTTTGTTTGGGGGGGGGGGG